GGGAGCGCCGCCGCGCTTCCCAAGTGGCGCACTATCCAGTGCGCCACCGGGCCGGCCCGTCTCAGCACTCTTTCTTTCTGCTTTTGCCACCAGTCTTACCCTTTCTCTATCCCTGTTAAAAGACTGCTAATGTTAGCTTTGGTGGGTGGATTGAGAAGAGGTCACTGACAAGGGACCTGTCTTCCTTGTGTCTTAAATAGGATCAAGTATTCTGGGGAATGTAAAGGTCCTTCATTTCCATCTCAGGCCTCATTGGGCATGGCCCCCTCTGGCTGCAGAAAGAGGACCCCGCCCCCATACCCCAGTGAAAGCAGGGGACTGAGCGAGTTTATCTCGTAGATGTTGAGTCTTGTTCCCACCCTGCTCTCAGAACCCTGCCTGCTCTCCCAGGCAGGAGATTGGAAGGGCCTGGCTGGACCGAAAGACGAGACTGAAGATAAGACATCTCGGGTTCCCCAACACAGGGCCCAGCAGATCACCCGACAGTGAAGCTCAAAAGCCCCTCCTGGGCTCTCAAAGCTCCCAACCAGCATTTAGCATCCCACTCTTAAATGTGAATAGTCAGCCGAGCATCACCCCACACGATGTCCTAATAGGAATGACAGAGCCCAATCCAATGACAACGGAGCGGCCTGGACAACACAGAGACTGCAAGGAGAAGACCCCTGAAGAGTCTCAGAAATTTAAAAGAAAAGAAAAAAATCCCTCCTTGAAGTAATGGGTACTTATAAAAAGGAACATTGAGAATAAAAAAGAACTCTCAGAAATTAAAAATGTGATATCAGAAATGGAAAACTTAATAGACAGTTTAGAAGATAAAATTGAGAAAATTCCACCACAAAAACAAAGTCATAGAAAGTGGGGGACAGGAGATAAAAGGATTAGAGGACCTATTCAGGGTGTCCAGCATCTGGATAACGGGAGTTCTGAAGAGAGTGAACAGAGGAAACAGAAGGTGGTAATTTGAGAAAACGTCCCCCCACTGAAGAACATGAAACTTTCCATCGAAAGGGCCAAGCCTAGTGAATGCAAAGAGAAAGACCTCGGGATTTGGGAGGTGAAAATTGCTGCCTCTGGGGAAAGGACATAGTGGGGCCACTTCTTTTAAACAAGCCCTGAAGAATACTCAGCTCTTCAAACTATGCACGTGTATAACTCGGATTTACAAAACAGAACTACGGGGTAAAAAGATATTAATAGGTGTTTATGAAAGAGAAAATCCAAATGGCCAAGAAACCTGAGAAAATCCTAAATTTCTCTCATAAACAGGGAGTGTGTTGTGATAAATGGAGAGGAAAAAAAAACATACATATAATCCACTAGGTTGTGCAGTGGGCGAGTTCCTCCAGGACCTGGCCCCTGCCATGACTGGTCTCCCTACTGCCCTGTTGCTATGGTTCCTTCCACTTAGGGGTGAGAAACGGGGTGGGGGTGTCCATGGGTGGGCTGCAGCCGTGTGTTGCAAGACCGCTGGTGATCTGTTTCATCTTCAGTATTTTTTTTTTTTTTTTTT